TCCAACAAGTTACTGACCTTCATCAACAGCTGCTTCTTCGCTGGTTGGCCCCATACTGAAGATCAAATGGCCATTCGGGCAGAAAAAATTAGCAACAAGAAATTCTGGCTCGAAACAAACCAACCAGGAGCCAGTAGCTCAACAAATATATAGGAGAAAACGAAGATGGATGTGGTGTACGTTGAGGAGGCTATCGAGTGACATTGCGTGCAATGCATGTCATCGCTCGCCTAGAATCTCAATGGGAAGCGACGAGTGGGTCGTCGGTGCAAGAGAGACATGGAGGAGGTCGTGTGACGAGCAGGAGATGAGAGATGATGAGCAATCGTGGATCCATCTGAAGAGGCTGGCAGAAGACATAACAAAGTGGAGATGTGTTGTTGAAACTGTATATTCCACTTTAAACCCAAAGGAATAATAAAAATAAATGAGTAGTGGCGTGACTAATCTACTACCTTGAAAATACTCACCTGCGAGATTCAAGTTAGACTTCATACATATTTCTTAAAGCGATAGCAGTACCCACTTCTGTAATTAGTTACCTAAGATGCACAACACATAATTAACTGTTAATTAACAAGAGTTGCCAAAATGATGTGAATTTTATCGCTTTTTTACCCTTTTCAAACATTCCGCGACTCGGTTACAGTTTGTGAGTGACTTCTTATTTCTTGAATAGTTTTTAAAGGACTCATTAATAAACAAAGAATATTCTTGACGCTTAATTCCTCATCACGTTTTACATTTATAAGACAGTAATAATCAAAGAATTATTCTCATTAACAACATTTATGCTGTTTTAAATGATACTGAATCAATAGTATCAATTGATTACAATTGAAAAGCATCAGCAAGAGGCAATATGCCTCACATATAACACTAAACTGACTGAATATCAGACGAATTAAGTCAAGTAAGACATAGTTAATTTATGAATTGATCGGTTCGATAGCAAGCTATAGTAGCCATAGTGGCCGGCTGCTCCTGTTTCTTTTCCACTCAGAGCTCCGGTTGGCTTAGGTGGACTGCAGTGGCCTCTTCTGTTTGGAGTGTTCGGTATCTAGAAGATGAGTTTGGTCCAAACAGGCCATACACATGGCCTTGAGGAATCTTTCTCTATCATCTGTCGGGTGTCAAATATATTACCAAAGGTCTCTAGATACCGAACGCTGCAAAACAGAGGAGGCCATTGCAGTCCACCTAAGCCAACCGGAGCTCTGAGTGGAAAAGAAACAGGAGCAGATGGCCACTGTGGCTACTATAGCTTGCCATCGAACCGATCAATTCATAAATTAACTATGTCTTACTTGACTTAATTCGTCTGATATTCAGTCAGTTTAGTGTTATATGTGAGGCATATTGCCTCTTGCTGATGCTTTTCAATTGTAATCAATTGATACTATTGATTCAGTATCATTTAAAACAGCATAAATGTTGTTAATGAGAATAATTCTTTGATTATTAGTATCTTATTAATGTAAAACGTGATGACGAATTAACGGTCAAGAATATTACTTGTTCGTCAATCAGTCTTTTAAATAGCCTTTATCATTAGATTCCTAGATTCATTATTCCTTTCATACATCTTCAATACCAAATTTTAGTTCATAATCTGTAAATCAGATTTTTCTTATAGCACTCAACTGCACTTATCTTCTACACACAAAAACCTTATCATAATTTCTCTTACTGAGTGTACTACCATGGATTTTCAGTGATGTCTATTAGCCAGTTCCCATAAATTGGTTTTCTTCTATTTACCGATTATGTTATTGCACTTATGACTTGATTCCGACTGAAACTCTTCCATAAATAAATCGTGTGCTTATATTATTATTATTATTGTTTCCTTTAATTCCTAGAGGAACATAGGGCCTCAGCCGTGCGTCTCAATTGCGTTCGGTTCTCTGCGAGAGTCTTTACCTGGCTCCAAGTCTGCCCACATGCTTTCATCTCCTCTTCACCTGACCTCCTCCAACTCACCCTTGCACTGACGAGCAACTCGCCGCTTCCCTTTCCGGTTCCACTCTAGCTATGGCTTGTCTAGTGATGTCACTTGATGGTTTCCTCAGAGTATGGCCAATCCATCTCCATTTCTTCCTGCATTTTTGTTTCACAATCGGTTCCTGGTTGGTTCGCTCATTGCCAGAGATTCCTGTTGCTGATCTTTTCTGGCCGGCAATCTGATCTTGAGTGTTGAGCGAAGACAGCTGTTTGTTGAAAGTCTGCACTTTGTTTGAGATGCTCTTTATGACGCGCTGGCCAAGTCTCTGATCCATATAGTAGCACTGACTGACGTCACATTGGAGTTGAAAATCCGGATCTTATTTTTGGTGCTGAGTGCTGTTGACCTCCACACAGACTTGAGAGTAGTGAAAGCTTGTCTTGCTTTCCCGATTCTTGCTTCGATATCCTCGTCAGTTCCGTCTGCCTGTCGTTGAAACGATGCTTCCCAGGTAGGTGGAAAAGGAGGTTTTTTCTTTCAGGTTGTGCTGTGCTTATATCATACGATTGTTGAAATCAGCTGCGTGTTGTTTTACTTTCTATTTACGGTTACCACTGGCTAACTGTTACAGCACTTTCAAAATTCAACTCTGTTACTACTAAAGGACTCAACGTTTTCACATGTACTTCTTTATTTAACGTTGTTGTATATTGGTGAAGTTCAGCGGTTAATGCGTCAGAAATCCTGACGACATAGTGAATTTTCGCATATCGTATGGACGTCATTTTATACCTTCTAAAACAGCAATAAAACGTATCAAATGTTTTGTTGTGATACAATATTTATAACGCTGATATCATCTATAATATCCTGTCCATTACAGAAAGATGTGAGAAGAAATGAAAATGAACCAATAAAACAGTTCAACATTTACAGATCTAGAAATCTATGTGAATAACTAATGTACCCAGTGTTCTGCATTTACTTTACTTTCTTTGCTTTTTACTTTTTATTATGGCTTGATTCCACACAGTATTTTGGTACAAGTATGGAATTTTGAGCATGTGATATCGGTGACCCAAATTTTGCAGGCCGACAATGGATACCAGGTGTGCGTCTGCCGGGGATCGAACCCCAGACCATGTGCATGGTCGGCAAGCGTCCCAACCACTGTTCTATCGATGCACGAAAGAAGGTGACCTAGAATAGATTCATACATAAATGTGTAGGAATTTTAAATTCGCAAAATCGAAAGGCATTTCACAACTAAAGTATCCTAGCTGTTTGTAAAACCCAGTATTTAGAAATAAAAAAGGAAACTGGCGTCACAGCATGATGACTGCAAAATGTTTAGTATCCTTTAAGTTCTGATATTCGATCTTTCGCAAAGTTGAATGTTTGACAAAGATTAATGTGGCAAATTCTAATTAATGATAGTTATTCAATAACTAATAGTAGGCGGCTAAAACTGACTGAAACAGACCTGTACTAGCTCGAGCAGGGTTAAAACAGGATTTCACTGTCAAAGCTTAATATTCTGTGTACTTAAACTGTGATTAAAAACTATCATAAAGGAAGACTGTTCGGCTTGTGTTTGTCATAAAATTTAGAGATATGCAGTCACTCGATAAGAATTCCTGAAGCTAAGATAGTGGTCTTGGATACTTATCATGAGACAGACTGTGTGACAGAATTCAGCAAGTACCACTGAGGATCAGACACAAAAGCCTGGTTACGTCCCAGTGACCAATAAGTATACTTACTTTACTTTACTTCGGCTATCTCCTACGGGAGGATGAGCCGGCTTCATGAACATCTCGAATCATCGCTGCCCAGGTACGGCGATCTGATGCAAGGTTTTGCGACAGGGTTATCCAATTCTTGTTCCACAGACGGAGTCCGTAGGCGGTTTGTAGCCACAGGCACTCCATATCAGCCTTGACTGTACCAAGCGATGTCTTCAGCTGTCCACCTCTGCGACATCGCCAAGATGGTAATGGCTAGGGACTTAGAACTGATTTAACCAGATCTTCATCTGGTCGGCGCAGAACATGGCCAAACCACCGAATGTGACGTTGTTGGATCAGTACTGGAATTTGGTTGATGTTGAGAGTTCATGAAGTTTCATGGGAATTCGGTACGAGTGATGTCCCCAGAATCGCACGGCCTTTTGTTTGAGAGTGCAGCTCTAGTCTTTACACAACCAAAAGTGACCTACAAGGCAGTAGGAGTGGAGTAGGGAGTCCACTATCCATTGGCAGCCGGTGGCCGGAGTTCGGTTCATCCGCCATTTTGAATGGGGCCAGATATCCAGGACATCCAACCAGCCCTTTGTCCATACGTCTGCCGGTGAGCTCCAGTGAGCTTCATGCGTCAGTCGTTGGAGGTTTGGAATCAGGGTTTAGCCATCTCCTCTAGACTGTCATCCAGTGGACAGTCAACCCGGTGACGAGCGCCGGACATTCGCTTTCGCCCTCTCACTTTGGTAAAAAACACCTCCGCCACGTGAAGGCAGTGAGTAGGACTTCCTCAGGAGAGGCTATGTAAGACGCCCGGTCATATGGGAGCATTTCAAGAGGTGTGCGGAGGGGTGGCCAACCCGTAGCGCAAGGCACCCACCCTCGACCATCCTGAGGCTTTGGAGTCTATACTTGTCATTCATCCTTGCGGATGCTTTTTTGCATCAGCTTCGCCGGAAAGAAATCTTCCTGTGTGACTAGAACAGAGGAGTGAATACAAGAACAATGCAGTACTTAATTTATCTTCCCTTTTTACGCTTGACTTTCAGTTTTAGAACAGATAAAATTTTTTGTATATGTTAAAATTTTGATTAACATTTTTTCGAAGTTGTTCCAACAACAAACAGTTTCCTTTTCCATAATATACTCTCATAAACAGTGATTTGTTTGAACGCCCTATTTTAATACATGTATCTAGCGTATAACTTTAAGTATTCTACAGCAAGAAGGGTTATATTCAAAGTATTTGTCCTAATTATAAATCACAATTGACGAACTCCAAATGTTTAAATTGAAAATATTCCCATCTTTTATAGAAATACCATCAGCACCGAGGAATGTGACTGTCAATCTAAGTGATCCAGCAAGAGTACAATTATCCTGGAATGAACCAATAGAAACAGGTGGTCGTTCAAATGTCTGGTATATTTTCAACTGTATAGAGTTGCCTAATCAACTTTGCTCACCACATCTAACTACAGTCCCGACAGTGCCAACTCTTACAACCAGGTAAACGACAAGATGTAAATTCAGTTTTTTAGCAGTACATTTTTTCTTGTAATCAAATTAAAGTTTTAAGTCTTAGCATACAAATGATTTCACAAGATGAATAACCATTAGAGATTATTAGAACCAAAACATATATTTTGGAGGACTCTACTTACGATTCAAGTTTATCTTTACATTTAAGGACCTACAATAAGTGACATATTTCTAAGGATTGAACACAGAACATATTCACGTACCAAGTCTGACCACGGATTATTAAAAGTCAGAGAAACATTGGAATCCAGGGATTGCCGAACAGCTTTTTTGTCCCGGCTCGGACTCCTAGACATTAATCATCCACCGGGGTTCGAACCCAGGACCTTCCGATTGTAAATCAAGCTCACAGGCCATTCAGTCAGTGGTACCCAACTCACTGACCAGTCCACGAATTCTAACTTCTACAAACTCATGATTTTTCCGCCAATGTCATCGGTGAGTACTTATCCTCACTCGACTAACTCTACCCTACTGGTCACGACTTCTCACTGGAATTGCAGGCAACTTCGTCTTGCAGGCAGTCATGTCGCTAGCCAGTACGAGAATAATTTTCAAGATTTAGTGTTTGAGGATTTGACTTGTCTCAAGTGTGATCATGAATTAATGTTACAGAATCGCTGATGATCAGGAAAAAAATCAAATCCCTACAAACTGACACTTGAGTATTCATGTACATTGTTATTTCAGAAGACATTGTGTAACAACAGAAGACAAGGGCCAGGCAACAGAACGTTTATAACGGAAAATCAATACATATTTATAGATTTGATGTGCATTATTGTAGATAAAGGTTAGTAGAAAATACTCTCTGTTGATCGGTTGTTTCCCACAGAAAGTTAACCTTGCATCTCTTGTGGCTGTGTCAGTTCATCCATATGTTAACTGTATCCGCCTGTCCATCTTGACCTTGTTTTCACATGACTAACATTGACCTCAATTACTGTTAACCAATTCGGCTAGCAACCATCTCTCACCACAATTGTTGTATACTTTGACAGGTGGAGCTTCTGTCACAACACGTTAAGATTTTGATATTAGATGGTTGAAGGCAATCGGCAGGAAGCCGTGGACTTAATTTTCTTGCTAGTTGGCAATCGTCAGCAAGGCATATGTGCAACCTTGAAGGAACTTATTTCCGTTCTGAGACTAGAACCCACGTGGACCAGTGTTGTAGTCAAAGCTATTCGCTCTCGCGCAGACCGGTAACGCGGGTTCGAATTTAAGAAGGAACATGATTTTTTTCAAGGTTGCGGATACAGCTTGCTGACAACTAACAACATATACGAAGTCTAGGTCAAGCAAAACATTCTGCTGATTCCTTCCAAGCATCTAGTATCAACAATTCAAAGTCATGTGAAGCCACCCAGAATGGTGGTCACACTGCAAACTTGACTGGTGGAATTCAGCCTGTACCAAACAAAGGAATAGATACATTATACTAGTTATTATAAATTATTTAAATTATTTCCAGCGTGTTTAAAAAATAATCAAAACAAGATTTTTCTGAAAGTTTCTCCATGTAAGCCACAGCTTCTACAGCAGAATTATTCAGATTTTATTAACCAGTAAGTTCCTTTGATGGTGACTGGTCGGTAGGCGTTTGCACCAATAGAAAAATGTAAACAGTTATCACGTATTTGTATTGACAAATGTCAAATTGTCATATATGCGTTTTTGTCTGTATTATCATGTGTATGTTGTTTGTTATGTGAAAAACACATCAAAACATGATAGTATTTTTACAAAGGTCACAATATAAGACTGAACAGTCCTTGCTTTTTCTCATCTGTTTTGCTCCACTAGACTCTACCACATAGGTGATAAGTCTGTCCCTTCTCTCCTATTTACTGCATTCAATATGGTTAAAATATGCAGGGTTTCAGAGGTCAACCTTTCCTTATGTGAATGAAAGCTTCTTCCTAGAATTTCGACACTGTCAAAATCAATCATATGTCTGCCATCTATAGCAAGCATTGCTGTAGCTGATCTTTTTTTCTAGACTTTTTAATTCTATTTCATTTCTAGGCGGACATTTCGTGCACAGTCTATGTTCTTTCACTTGTCTACTGCTCTCCCATATATAAGCAAGCTTCACATTCTGACATTTCGGGAACCTTATCTTTGACATTCACCAAAGCTTCCTCTAGAGAATTAGAAGTAGACTTTAATATTATATAAGAAAGTAGTCTTTGAAGTTGTTCAGCCATCTCCTTTCGATATGGAATGACTATCATCGACAGCCAATTTTATGGTTTCTTTTCTGTTTCTTTTGATTGATAATATTATTTAATAGCTATTTTAGATAGCCATTTCCAGTCAAAACTTGGCTTTAGTCAATACAAATATATGTTGACTGCTTACATTTTTCTACTGGTACAAATGTCTACCAACCGATGATCACCAAAGGAGTTCACTTCAATAAAATCCTAATAATTCTGCCGAAGAAGCTGTGGCTTGCACAGCGAAACTTTCAGAAAAATATTGTTTTGATTTTTCTTGAACATTCTGGGACTATTTTATATAATAATTTATAATGTTTCAGTCTGCAGTGGCGTTCAAATTATTCCAGGAAATTCGTAATATATACGGTCTCGAAGCTTATAAAGCATTACACTAGTTACCATCTAGTGCGGACGATATAGTCCTTCTAGGCGAGGACGCTGACAAAATGCAGGGTCTACTGAACACCTTGAGCTACAATCTTCGTATGTTTGGCATCCGATTCTCCCCTGTAAACTGTAAGATGATGCTGCAGGAATGGACTTCACCGACCCCTAGATTAGAAATAGGAAGTGAAGTGGTAGAGCACGTTGACCGCTTCACTTACTTGAGAAGTACCATAAGCCCCAACGGGTTGATCTCTGACGAAATCTCAGCACGAATACAGAAGGGTAGTTTCGCATATGCCAGTTTGCGCCGTCTCTGGCGTAGATGTGATATCCGACTATCGACCAAAGGGCGTGTGTACTGCTCAACAGTCCGCTCCGTCCTCCTTTATGGCTGTGAGACCTGGCCATTCAGAGTGGAAGACATGAAAAGATTAGCTGTCTTCGATAATAGGTGTCTGCGTTCTATCTCCCGCGTGAAGTGGTATAATAAGGTGAGCAATATTGAGGTTAGGCGTCGAGTGCTAGGTAAGGCGGGGAAATCGATAGACGAGACTGTGAAATTACATCGACTGAGATGGTTAGGACGTGTCGCGTATGCCTAGTTATCGCCTTCCTCGACGGGCAATGTTAGCTGATATAGGGTCAGGCTGGAAAAGAGCTAGCGGCGGTCAAACGAAAACATGGCACCAGTCAATGAAATCCACAACAGTTAGTCTAAGCCAAGTAGGAAGGCGAAGACTCCCTGGTTGGGGTCCTCGGGACGATAAAAACCAATGGTTGGAAACAATTGGTGACATGGCTCAAAATCGTTCTCAATGACTAGCGCAGATGCATCCACTCCTTGTGACTCATGATTTCCAATGAAACTGTTTTGTTCTTCGTTATTACTATTCCTTTGTCTCACACCTCTGTTTACTGTCTATACTATGCATTTCTCCTATTTTCTACTCTTGCTTTGTGTGCTACATGGAGTGTGGCGACTTGAACTGCCGCACATATGTGCAAAGTTCTATGTTGAAAACCGACCGACCGACTGACCGCCCAACTAACGTTTAGATTGCATTTTGACTTTTATTAATTGTTTGAATTATGCTAAGCTTACAATATTCCTTCCACTGGTGACAGTATTCATCGTAATGTGGTTAGCCGAACGTCGTAAACATTATGCGTTTGCATAGATCAGATAGTCACGTACTATATAGTTACGACATCTGTTTTTTTTTTCACAGACACATAAATTACTGTTATCATTTTAATTGAATTTACCAACTATTCAATTTGTTCAATGAAGAAAACGACAGAATTTAAAATCACGCACTTAAGAAAGAAACCTTTTCAATTTATGCAGAATGATTACCTGTCGGCTCTCTCTGTCTCTCCCTCTATCATTTCGCTTCTACTACCATAGATGAAAGACTGTTTTTGTATCGTTCGATACACACAAAAAAGAAATAAACAAAGCACCTAAAACGCTGTTTAGATAAACTAACATGCAAGCCAAGACATTACAAAAATGTATTGGATTTATATATTTTAAACTAATGTTGAAAATACTTTGAATATTCTCATCAGTGTGACAAAGATTATTATTCTAAGCGTGTTTAAAATAGCATTCTTGATACAGGTGACGCCCTTAATGAAATGTGTTCCATTATAATGAACACTTGTGGAAATAGGTCACGTAATTTAAGTAGATTCAAAGGGTTTTTTTACAGATTCCCACCCATGAAATGTTCAAAGTGTCAGTAGCATTTTAAATTTATCTGCAATTAGTTGACACATCTTTGTGATCTGATTGTGACAAAAAATAGAATAAATAGATGTGTCACTGGACAGTTTTCTCTATAGTTGGCGTTTTTAATCCCCTAAGTCTTACTTTCAAAGTAAATCAGACTTTAGGGGATGTGGAGGTTTTGACAATTAAGCAGACAACGATGTATGTGAACATAAGTTCTTATCCGCAAAACTCCTTAAGCACACATCAAAACACCAAACTGATCATCCAAAACACGAGGTATATTACGAGATTAGAGTAGCAGTGTGGTGATGACTGCTTATCTAGCTAAGTATCGTGCAGAAACCAACAGAACTTTAAACGACAGTGTGCCAAATTACATGGCTGTTTGACCACGAACCATCAGCTTGATGAGTTGACTAAAAGAGTAAAGATCAGTATCCAATGTTGAGTGACGTGTGATGTAGGCTACAAATTTTGGGAACTCATTTGCCGCCACAAGATTGCGTTGGAATAAATTAGATCTCTATATTATAAGTTATTATTTTTCTGTAATCAGAAAGAGAAGTCGTTAAAAGCATAAGCTTCCGTTTACTATTACCTACTTGCTTTTTTGCAGA